TTCTTTGGCAATTTCTAATTTTATTTCTTTTAATTGCATTGCAGCTTTGTGCAATTCTACCTCTCTGCGATCCCTTTTTTCCAAAAGCTTTAGCTTCTTTTCTTCTATTGCGATAGAAGATAACCGCCCGTATCTCGTAAGGAATGCTTCATTGATCCCATTTTATTTGTAGCGTCAGTTAAAATTCTTTCCTGCATTCTATTGTGCCATTCGAAAAGGTCGTTCCTCTCCCTCGTTTTTGGTTTTCGTGTTCTGGCTGGAGTGGATGGTTGATCTCTTCTGTGTTGTGTTTCCGCTGGTGATAACTGAACACCTTGCAAAATACCTTCTGGACTTAACTGCTTGTTAAACTGCAGCAAGTTGGCCACAGCCTCTTCCAATGGGCAAAGGGTTAATTGTTTATATATTCCACCACCTGTTGCATTACACTCAGCCTTGTTTTTCATAAGTTTCTTCTTATGTTTAAATTTGTAATCTCGCCACACCTGCAGTTGAAATGTATATTACAAAATATATGCTTTAATGGTGTTATTATAATTACCTTCTGCCAACCATCGCTGTCTCTTAAAGGGGGCTCAAGGGCATTCAATTTACTGCTGATTGCCTCCCACTGCTGTTTAAAATTAGCTGGAGCTGTTCCCTTTTGAAAACCCTTTGCTAGGCAAGGGCTTTTTTCTAACTCAGCTATAAGAGTTTCAAATTGTTCTGCGCTTGTAATTTTCATGTCTAAAATCTAAATAAATGCAGACACATAGATATTTATTAAGTTAATTTAATTACAAACACGAAAAATAAAAAGAGAAGACAGGAGTTAAATGAAATATTTAACAAATGAATTCGACTGATGCTTAACGAGTCGTTCACATAGTACATACATATGTACATATGTTTACACATCATATTTTATAAGTACCTGGTCCTAAGGGCCTTTTTTCTTAAAAAAAAACACTTATACTTACAAATTTTCTTCCAGCCGTCAAGGACGATTACGCTTTTGACAACATATCAAAGAAGACAATTGAAAATACACAACACCAACGTAAACATCTGGTTCAATAAACAATGTTTAACACTAAATGTTACGCCGAAATCCGCAAGAATTAATTTAAAATCGAGCACAGAGCAAAGGCGAAAAATCTTGAAAAGAGCAGAAAACAGCTTCCTTCGACATGAAATAAAGAACCTGTATGCCAAAAAAGAACGCACAAATGAGGAGCTACTTTCCATTCATTTAGAACTAGCGGAACTCCTCCCTGTCAGCACGCTCCTGGAGATATTAGATGAAATAAAGGAGAATATCAGTAAATCTATGGGACAAAAATACAATAAATTAAACAAAAAAACTCAATGAACTCAATAGAAAGCAAAACATCACAAAGAACATACAACACAGCGAAATGCCTTTCCATTCCAGATTCGTAAATTTATTAGCAAACAAGAGACAGAAATATTGGAAAAATGTCTGAAACACAACATAGAAAATTATGATAAAAATAAAGAGGTAGGGCACACTATTGTAGACGCGGAAATGGCCATATCATTACTACCATATGTAGACGTATAATTGAAAAAAGCATAAAATCCATGGAGAAGAAAAAACTAAGCGACGAAAATAAAACTGTCAAAGGGCTAAAGAAAAAACTCAAAACGAATAAAGTAATCACAACAAAAGCAGACAAGGGGAACACAACGGTAATAATATACGAAAAAGAATATAAAGAAAAGACAGAGCAACTAATCAAAGAGACAAATTGTCGGATGATGAGAAAGGACCCAACCGATGACTACCAAGTGGCAGTAAAACACGCAATAAAACAGGCAAAAACAATAATAAATCCAAGGAAAGCATATACAATGACATTAATGAATCCTTCGGCTCCTTCAATGATCGCACTCCCAAAAATACACAAGCCAGGAAATCCGATGAGACCAATTATCAACCACAAATCTGCACCAGGATACAAACTATCGAAATATCTAAAATCGTTGCTGAAAGAAAAACTGGAACTGCCCAATAAATACACAATTGCGAATACAGCGGAGTTAATTGAAATGTTTATGTTTATGAATTTGTACAACGATTTTGGGTTGCTGTGCCCAAAACGCGTGAACATGATTGCCACAATTGGTAACTTTCTACCAAAATTGGTAACTTTTAAACGGTTTGGTAACTTGGTAACTTTTATTTCATTTTGGTATCTTTTGCAACTAAACATCTTTTTGTATTACTAGAAAGAATTGAATTATGTTTTGAATGTGCGTAATTATTGTGGCGAATACTGCGGCAACACAAAGCGAACAACGAGAAATAGGCA